GAGTTGGTTGAAAAGATATATTTTACAAGTTTGTACAATTTATTCTGTTGATGAGTTGGTTGAAAAGATATATTTTATAGTTCCACAAAGAGGTTTGATTGTTTTGGACTTTCATATAGATTATATGACCATATAAGTTCACTGGATTTGACATAACAACACTCAAGGAAAGTGTTATTTTGTATGGCATTTTCAACCAAAAGCAGTCTAGTAAACTGCAGATCTATACAAAATAAAACCTTTTAGTATCAGTTATTTTAAGTTTGCCTTTAGCGCTAAGAGAAGTGGTGAAAATGAAGTTATTTAGTTATCAAAGTGTATCTAATCTCTTTAGGACCTCTTCTTTTGTTTTGAGTAAGTTCCTATTTTGTATGTATTGTTGACAATATTTTTAACAGATGTCTTCGGAAAGAGAACTGCTATCTGAGGAGCTACGAGAAATTAAAGAAGTGTTTGCTGAACTTCAAGAGGAGATGCAAAATAAAGAAGATGAGTTTTTGGATACTAAGGTGAGTCTGAATGGAAAAAATCTACAGTTTGACATAGATCTATATTGCATGTTTTTATAAACCTCTGTTAATACAGCTTTTTCAATGTGAAGTTAGCAATTTACAAACTTAGCATTGGAATTTTGTTAGTGTAAACCAGACAATGCTTTGTTTTATTTTCAAACAGTGTTTTGATTGATGAGGGTTTTTTTCTATTAGGAGAAAGGAATTCAGCATATTGATGCCCTGAACTCTGAGCTTACTGAAGCTAGAACACGACTGGAAAAGCTTAGTGAGGAACTAGATGCGACAAAAGCTTTGTTGGAAGAGAAACAAGTAAAATCATACAGCATTTTTTTGAAAACTAACAATGCTCACCAGCAGTAAAAACTTTATCCTACCCCCATTCTGTAGAAATGTTATATTACTATATAACAGTCATGTACTTCTATGTGTCTTCCTGCAGTTGATTGGTATTAGAAATAATATCCTCCACACTCTATGCAGCATCTTTGGAGACACAAACTTCAGCAGGTATAACACAAGCATTTCTTCTTGCATTGCAGACTTCTACAAAGCAAGAGGAAGAGAGATCCGGGTATGAAAAGCAGGTAGCTGACCTAAATGCTGAAATCAAGAAACTAAATCAGAAAATGGAGGTGAGATGCACTAATTTATGTTAATACTAAACGAGCTGTCCAGCCATAATTTGAACACTCTGCAGCCTTAAACGATGACTGGATGGCTTGCAATTTTTTTGGGGGGAAATGATGGGTGGTTCATAGGGACAGCCTGTGAATGGCCTAGGAAGTAATTTGATGTAACTAGACTGTATGATGTGTCCCAGTTTTAGAAAACTATATTGTAGCACGAGTTAACTACTGAATATTAATTATGTAAAAATCCCACATGCTCCAGCAGTACAGACTGTGACCATAATAGAAACTACACCAGATAAATTGTCAGCTTTGAAGTATTCGGTACAGATTGTACAGTAAAGAAAGGGTGTTTGTGTCATAAAATTGTAAGGTTGTGTTGTATAAAGAAAGAAATTAATCTGGATCTAACAGTCTCAGACATTTATATGGAATTAGACGTTAAGGAGTTTGAAAGAATCGTTGCAACTGAGTAGATTGTCTTCAGTCCACCTGCAAATAGAGGAGGTCCTCTGTGAATGCCGCTTACTCCCCTGTTGTGTATATTTAAGGACACCACAAATAACTTCCTGGAGCAGATCCGCCACATGGAGAAGTGCTGTGATGAGGCTGACAATGAACTTAAGCAAGAAAAGATAGAACACAAAGAAACCAAAAGAAAATTGGAAGTAATACAGGCTGGGCAGAATGAGGAAGGAGATGCATCTGAAGATGTGGACAAGCCCAAGGGAAGAGACAAAGCACTTGCTGCAGCCAAGAAAAAGATTCAAAGTCTAGAAAAATCCCTGCAGGAAGGTCTGGAGCACATAAAGGTTGGTTTGTATTGTAGCAGAGTTTGAAACTTTAGCGGCAGTATACATTTGGTCTAGAATTGATTTTATGCATAATTTCTTTGTATAAAATCTTTCTTTTTATCCTAAGGATATTTTATGTCCACAGAGATAATGAAAATAATATTCCTGCTCTCTTTTTCTATTTTTTTTTTCCTCTAATGAATGCATATTATATTTATTTATGATAGAATTTTAAAAAGTGAAAAGGGTTCATCATTCTGATTACAATTTCAGTGTTTTATATGGTATTGTATTCTTTGATTGGAAGGTCATTAAATTTTTTGTGAAGTTCTGTGATTACTTGAAAGTGATTTTCATTATTTTCCTCAGTTGTTACAAGAAGCCCGAGATCACACCAGTCAGCAGGAGGAGATTCGCCACCTTCAGCAGTGCTGCATGGAGGCAGATGCTGAACTTGAGCAAGAGAAAGAAGAACATGAAAAGACAAAACAAAAACTCCTCCAATTAGAAGAAAATATTAAAATGAAAAAACCAGAGGAAAAAAGCTTGGAAGAGCTGAAGCAAGAACTAGGCGCCAAGAACATGGAGATTGTTCAGTTGAAGAGGGACCTTTTGATGGAGATAGATCCTCTGAAGAAAAAACTGAAATCTTTGAAGGATGATAATGATTACCTTCAAAACAAAGTATCAGAATATAGAAATGAACTGCGTAAGGCACGTGAGGAACAAGCTGAAGTGACGGGTATGGCGGACTTACCTCTCCAAGAAAATCTGTTAATCCCTGTCATTTTATTTAAATGCATTAATGTCCATAATTAAAAATAAAGGTTTGAAATTTGGATTTCTTATGATCACAATGAGTTGGTATGTTAATATGACACTTCTTAACAAATCACATTTGTCACAAATGATTCTATTTAGCATATGTAACATTATTAAAATATCTCGGGTGCAGCCCTGTTGCATCTTATCTACTGCAACATACATTTATCATATTTTCATTTTTCAATGCCTCTCAGAGTAGCCACATTTTACCAAGCATTGCTCTCATCTTATTTCCAGTCAGCCAGTTTGGTAGCCAGTCTTGCAAGACCTGTGCACAGCGCTCGTCTGGCAGCAGCAGTGGCATCATCAGTCGAGTGGCGTACTTCACTGTTGAAACTGAAAACAAGAGGCTCAAGGAGCAAGTGACAGGACTGGAGGGTCAAGTCAAGGAGTTGACACTGTACAAGTCTGAATTTAAGTGAGTGGCATGTCAGTTTGTTTGGTGAAAATGTTGGGAGGTGTCTGACAGATGTGTTGTAAATTATTTCTATTTGCATGTAGTCGATGTAGATAATGTGCAGTTTTTATTGTTGCAGTAAGTATCCATTTTGTTTTAGCTGTGTAGCTGCATCTGTTATTGTTTTTAAGTTTTTTCTTTCATCTTAAATAGACATTTTGTGTCATTTAACATATTCTTTGATTTTTTAAAGACTTGATATATTGCATGTATTAGACGAAAATAACGCAATAAAATACAATTGTCTAAGATAGTTCTAGTTGCCTTTTCCCATTTTTGTTTTCAAACCTGTGTGAATTAGCTTTAATCCCCTTTTTTTCTGAGACATTGAACTAAACACCTGCAGATCTCAAATATTATTTTAAAAACATATTGCCCGATTCTTACAGGAAAAAGATAGAATTGCTGAAAAGAGAACTATCCTATTACAAGGGAAAGACGGGAATAGCACCAGCATTAGACGAAGCTCCAAAGGTGCCTCTTAAAGGTAAGAGGAAATGTTACTGCTAAAGCCTTATGTAAGAGATAAATAAGTGAAAGCTGCTTATAATGAAACATTTCATGAAAACAAATGACATATATGATCGTAAGTTTTTTTTATGTTGACACATTTGCAACAGCCTGTGTATTATACGTGTAGTGAATTGAAAAATCATTCATTTGATATTGCCATATAATCATCAACCAAATTGGATCACAAATGGCTATTATCTTTCTATCCGCGTGTCAATTTTGATGATCAGTGCATTGTATTTCATGAACGCCTTGATGTAGTTCATGCAGTCAAGTACTGTCCTATATACCATTTCAGGTGTCACCAACAGTCCTCGTGCCAGCCCAGCAAGACCTGCTCCGGTGACAACAGGATCTTCTCCAGATCAGAAAAGCAGTGAGAACTACAACTGGCTGGCAGGTGGTGTGGACTGGGATAAAAACGACGTTAAAGCTGATGAACAACCCTCAGAATGCACCACGCAATGAAAAACTTTGAACAGTTACTGCCAAAGTTATGAATAACTGGAAATGTGATAACACTGAGATGACACTTTGATGTCAGTCTTTCATGTCAGAGTCATTTTTATGTACAGACACAGATGTGTCTGTACATATAGCCATCATCTGCGTCTGTCGTCGCCGTCGCCGTCGTCGCTGTCGCCGCCGTCGCCGTCGCCGTGCCCCTTTACCGATAACACGATAAGTGGAAAACCATTTTGCCTTTTGATTTGAAACTTGCAGAACTGATGAATATTCATAATACGCAGGTCAAGTTCGAAAATCAGCATGATCGGGTCACTCTTAGGGAATTTATGCTGTTTTTTCACTTTTTTCAACATATATGCAGCACCGATAACACGATAAGTGGAAAACCATTGTACCTTTTGGCTTGAAACTTACAGNTACAGCGGCTAGAGAGAAACCTGGAAAAGGGCGTTGTCTGGATCACTTTCTGTGACCCATCTGGTAAGTGCAACTTGTTTTAACAATTTTCAGAAAGTCACATTTAAAGTTTTTTTACTTTAAAAACGTTAATTGTTTAGAAAAATCACTAGCTTTATATTTAATGACCATTTTAGTTGCTTCACGTGTTCTTGGAAAGAGGGACATTCTCTTTGAGGGTGCCCAGCTACAAGTATGCATGCCTAAGCCCCAGCAAAAAGAAGAGCTTTCTCACATTGTCGAAGTCCACGGTGTCAAACAGGAGACATCCACAGACACCGCTGAAATGTTTTTCGAAAATGAACGAAAATCAGGTGGCGGAGATATTGAGCACATGGAAAGGGATGCTACTACAGGCGTTATCAAAATTACTTATGCAGATTCCAAAAGTAAGTAATGGTTTGGTGAGAATTACTTTCAATTCCGCTTAGGGTAAATTTTTCCCTAAGAAAATTGTTTCATTGCATTTTGGTAAGAAGTAACTATGCCATAAATGCTATGTTATATCAGGTGTAAAATGCCACCCTTGTTAATGTAAATAACCTACAACCTCTGTTCAATCCTTAAAAAATTTCCACTTAGTTGCCGAACGTGTCCTAGCCCAAGAAAACCTGATTCTCGAGGGTGCACCAATACGTGTCTGTCGGCCCCAGCCAGATAAAGCAGATGACACAGCTGGCAACATAATGCAGGAAGATAGCATGGTTATCAATGCAATAGTGGTTCATGGAATACATCAGACAACATCTGATGACACAATCGAGTTGTTTTTTGAAAACAAACGGAAATCTGGAGGTGGTGAAATTGCAAAATTGGAAAGGAATCCCTTGACAGAAGATGTGACAATCACCTTTGTAGATCCAGAAGGTTAATGCTGATCAAATGCTGCTTTAATTAATGGGTTTTAAGTAATACGAGAATAATTTATTTATGTTCATAACTGAAAAATTTTGGTTCCATATATAATGTGAGCTTGACAATGAATTTATTGTTGTATATAGATAGTGCTTATTCCTAAACATATAAAAAACAAAGTGAGTCACCACCAATGCCCTTGCTGTTAAGTATATTCTTGGATGTCTTTTCAGTTGCTGACAGAGTATTAGAAAGAGGTCTCCTCAAACTTGAAGGAGCCACACTGACCATATGCAGGCTGACACCACCAGAACCAGTCAGGTCCGTAGAAATTCGCGGCTTTCATCAAAACACCTCAGATGACAGCTTAGAGATGTTGTTTGAAAGTAAAAAACGCAGTGGTGGCGGTGAGATTGAGGACATCAACATTGATAGAGCATCTGGTGTTGCTGTTATTACCTATAAAGACCATGAAGGTATTTTTTGCTTTTCCTTTTTTGACTGGGATAAATAAGTTAAATAGTGAAGGAACAGGTTATTAAATGATTAATTACATGTATTATGCTAGACTGCTCTTTATTTAATGACAAATGAAAAATTACTGTAAATGATAGATTAATATACAAATGGCAAGACTAGTTTTTGAAAAAAAAAACACAACTATTGTTTTGAGCATTAAGTAAATAACTGACTTTACATGAATAAGATAAATAACATTAGGGGCGTTGCAAGAGCGCCATATATATCAATATTTTGAGGGATTAAGGGTTTGATAAGTTGATTCTCCTTGAAAGTTTGTTTTTGTTTCAAACAAAATTAAGGTTAAATACTGACATTTCTGTGTGTGCTTATGATTCCTGTTGGGATGAATTTCTACATAGATAAATAATAATATCCCGACCCTCTAACTTTTAGCCATTTTGGCACCTGCACCTTCTGTTAAGGACGTAAATAATGTAAGTTTTTTCATGTTCAGTTGCTGCACGTGTCATTCAGCACGGGGAGTCTCCTGGGACGATACTAGATGGAAACAGGCTCCACGTGGAATGGCCCTGTGAAAAGAGTGCTCCTTCAGCTATAGGAGGGACAAGTAAGGGGAAAATTGTCCAAAAGAATATTCAATTTATATATATATATGTGTGTGTGTGTGTGTGTGTATATATATATATGGGGGGGGGGGAGGCTGTTATTCAGTGGAAGTTTGTAAAACAATGAACAAATACAAAAATGCTATATCTTATTATACATTTTAAACTTACCTTTTTATTATCTGCAAAAGGAAGTGAAGACAACCAAGTGGAAACACCTAAACTTGACACCATCAGAGTACATGGTTTTCACCAAGAGAGCACGACTGAGAGCTTGACACTTTTCTTTGAGAACAGAAAACGTTCAGGTGGTGGTCCCGTTCAGAATATAACAATGAATGAAGATAAAACTGAGGCCCTGATAACATTTCCGGATCCTGAAGGTGAGCTATTTTACAACCGAATTTAGTTCTCTTTTTGCGAAGGTTTTTCTCAAGCCAGTGCACACTAGCTAGATGGTTCTTGGTTTTATGCAGTACATCGATTATATCATATATAAAGCTCAGTACACCATAAATATTCGTGGTCAGTTCAATTAAGTCCTAATTAAGGAGATTAGCCTTTGGTTAGCAGATTTTTTATTTTCATATGTATAATTTATTGAAAACATTGAGTTCTTTCTAAAATTATGATAATTAAAAAATGTTTAATTACTAGTTGTGAACAGGATATTACAGAAGTGGGAACAGACTGGACTGACATTAGATAAAAGTAGTCTAGACATAGCAGCAGTTCAGCCCCCTCCTCCTGTCACATATGACTTGCAGAAGGTCTGTTTCAAGAAGGTGGGCGTAAATGTAACAACAGACCTCCTAGAAAATTTCATCGAGGCAAAAACCAGCTACAGTGTTGAGAACATTACTTTTGGGGCTATCCCTGGGACTGTCCTAGTTGCATTAAGTGAACCAATAACAGGTACCTGATGTATTTTTTAGAAAAGTCCATTTAAACCTTAAACCTGATTAATTGTTTAATAAAGTGAAGTGTGTGGTTCATGTTTTACGTTATCGTTTCATGTAAAACAAATGTTAACCAGAATGGTGAATGTGTGACAATTGTACTACTAACAATGTAAATAGTAATATATTGTCTACGTTCAGGGACATTCTTTTTCATTTCAGACTTTGATAACTTTAAAGCCAATTGCTCGAAAAAGAAACTTGAAGGAAGTAATCTTGTCGTGGAAAGAGTTCCCCTTACAACTAGTATCCAGGTTCACAAACTTCCTCAAAATATCACAGAGGATGCGCTCGAGAATTATTTTGAGAACGAGAAGAAAAGTGGTGGTGGTGGAGTCAGTGTGGTTCATATGGCTTCAGATTCAGCCTCCGCCATCGTGACTTTTGATAACCCAGAAGGTAAGGGTTTTTTCTTTATTTAAAAGAGGTGAAAATTTGACAATTTCATATCAATTTTTTCTAAATGTGTTTGATGATAATCCCTCTTTGTGATCCGCAATTATTGTATCAAGGAGTGTTTGTGCTTGTGTTTCAGTTGTAGACAGAGTTTTAAAAAAGAAGCACATATTGAACAAGACCCATGTAAAGGTATCCATATACCATGAGTGCCTTGGGATTCTTCCCCCTGGACATGACCCGAGCAAACCCTATTTACCTCTACCCAAACCAATTCAATTGGAAAATGTTGAATACGGATTGGTAGAGTTCATCAAAGGCATTAAAAGACATCGTTCTGCGGCTGAACAAGCGTTTGCTGATGTGAGTGCCCGCATACAATGGCCTCAGAATCCAGCATCAATGCCCAGTGTCACCTGTGCGCTATCTCAACAGTCTCCAAATTATAGAGAAGCTGCAGAAACATGGGAAAGGAATGTGAGGGAAGTTATGAATAAGGTTTTCAAGGAAGAGTTTGTGTACAAAGAGTTTTCCACTCTTCAGGCAATATGGGAGAAAACCAACCAAGCTCTCTCATTGCTACCGAATCCAGAAAACGACAATTATCGTCTGCAAACTGAAGACCAGACCTGTGTCATACGAGTGATGGGGGAGGCAGGTATAGCCAATGAGGTGATTCAGAAAATTACACAGATACAGAAACAACTTGATGAGCAAATGCGACGAGATGCATTGGTTGTGAAGGAAAAGAAAACTCTGAAGCTGTTTCAACTTCGGTACCTATTGGCAATACAGTACAAAAAGATTGCTAAACAGATGTTCCCCGATATGAACATCAGTATTGATCAGGATAGTAGGATGCTTCATCTAAAAGGCATGCCAGATGACGTAAACAAAGCTATGATAGATGTTTATGAAAGAATAAACGCCCTACTACACCAGACCTTCAAGTTGCCTCCAGCGTCTATGCTGTTAATGGGAACCAAAGAATGCCGAGAACATCTTGTGGATCTGTTCCGCCGGGAAAGTTTGGATGCAGTGTGGGTTGTCGGAAGTGATGAGGTTTCAGTACATGCAACAAAGCAAGACGAGATCACTCATGCTTGTCAGATCATCAAGCAAAACATAATTGAAACCCCGGTTTCAATCAAAGATGGTAGCCAGGGGATTTTGAACACAGAAAAGTGGCACGCAACAGTTGATCAGCAAGAAAAGTTGTATCCTGGGTTGTGTAGAATTATACCCAAAGCAGACAATAGTTCCGTAACTATTGTGGCTGTGAAAAGTGTATCTGGCAACGTCCTAGAATGTGTTTCTGATTTCCTTACCTTCAACACAGTGGTTGAAGAATTTATGAAAATGGAAAGAGGAAAAGTTACATTCCTTGTAGAGCGAAGGTTAAAAAGATTAAGAGAGATTGAGAAGGAAAATGCGGAAAACCAAGTGAAAATAAAATGGGGAAAGTCCGGAAAGAGCAGCGGATTTCTTGTACAAGGGAATCAACCCGGAATCATCGCCACAACTCGAAAACTACGCGACCTTTGCCTGAAAATCGAGTCTGAAATTAAAGAAATAAATAAACCGGGGATGCCAAAGTATATACTCTCCCAACGAGGAAAGGACTTTCTAGAAAACGTGGAAACAAAACACGACTGTACAATTGATGTCCCGTCGAGTTCTGGGCCAGCCGAGGAGGATGGTGACTTTGTGATCGTTGACAGTTCAGACATAAACCAGAAAGTAGTGGCTCACATTAAGACACCAGATAATTGTGTAGTGGCCATTCATAGAGATGATCTTACGCAGCAACATGTGGATGTAATAGTTAATGCAGCAAACAGAGACATGGCCCACATTGGAGGTTTAGCCAAAGCAATCGTGGACGCAGGTGAGACATGTCTATCATGAAGTGGTAAACGTCTGCCAGTCAAACTATTTTTGTGTTTCAATATTGTCATGCACAGCCTCTTTGTAGTATTCAGTGATAACATTTTCTTATATATACCTTAAACGGAAGTATCAAAATTTACGAACACAAATTTTGTTTTTATTCATATCAATCTTTTATAAATAATAAATAGATTAATAAAATAAATATCCTTAGGTGGCCAAAGTATCCAAGATGAATGCTCTGCCTATACCGGGAAGCACGGAGCCCTTCTTGATGGACAAGTCTTCGCCTCTTCGGCAGGCAAACTGCCCTGCAAGAAAATCCTGCATGCTGTCGGTCCAGTGTGGCGTGGAGGAAATAATAATGAAGAGAACCTTCTATATGAGGCAGTGTACAACTGTCTGGATGAAGCAACAAAAATGAAATTCAAAGCCATCTCTTTTCCAGCACTTAGTGCTGGAGTCTATCGATTCCCAATTGATAAATGCTCAGAAGTTATTCTTGAAGCTATAAGGGACTTTTTTAAGAACTCCTCAACATCTATAACAGAGGTTCGAATTGTGTCACTGGAGGAACGTGTACTTACGGCATTTCAGCGAGCTCTACACGGAATTTTTCCGACTGGCAGTTCTAGAACAGATGAGGGAGCAAGCTACGATGGTGGGTATGGCAGAGTCTCAGCATCAGTAGGAGCAGGAGAGCACTCACAATTTACTGGTAGGCAACCTGTCCGTCTTAACCAATTAACTGATCTAAAGAATGGGCCTTTTGTGTTAATAACAAAATATACTATTATACAACAATTTTGAATATAACCTTCATATTTATCAAATTTCCTAAAAAATAAAAACTCTTCAGATAGTGAACAACAATAAGTCAATTTGTACTGAAATGATCTTTTTAATTCTTGCTTCAGCCCCTAACATTTTCCCCCACCCAGTATCCGAACGAGATTTCATTTGCCTTTTCTTTAGGGGCATGGGAGCGTATCATTATATTCATCTTGATCTTTACCTATGATTTTTACCAATTTTAGTCTGTAGAACATCTTGGCATTTTCATTCACTAAAGTAATAGTAATTTTGAAATGTGCACAATGTGGTAAATGTGAATGTAGATGTCCACTTTCATTAATGGGATTTAGATTTTCCAAAGTCTCTTTTAAACCTTCTCCGCACATTTTCAAAGTAATTGTGCGTTTTGTAAAGTAATTGAGGAAAACATTTTGTAGGTCTGTAAGAGAGTTTGTTTGTTTGTTGTTTTGTGTCTAATTACAACTTACTACATAATACCTACGTAAATGCCAGGTCTGGAGACAGAGTCCTGTAGTTCATACTTACCCACTACTGATCCCCTGACTATGAACACAAGGGAGAGACTTCTGGTTTCACTCAGAAAGGCAGTTCTTGCACAGGAAATGGTATGTGTACGCTTGAGAAGTTATTCTGTGAGCATAAACACTGTGGTACAATGTTTCAAGTACATGTACCTGAATGACTTATATGAATTTAAATCTTATGACGACTTTCATATACTTTCATAGCCTATATTAAACATAACATTACAGGCAGATATCATTGTGAACACTACTAGCAGGGATCTGAAGTTGGCGAACGGTGCTGTATCGAAGTCTTTGCTGTCCGCTGGGGGAAACGTTTTGCAGGTCGAATGTGATCAGCAGGCACCAAATGGACTTCAGTTTGGCGACATTGTTGAAACTTCTGGCGGTAATTTGAAGTGCAAACGCGTGTTTCATGGAAGCTGTCTGAATTGGAGTTCATCTGGCTCAGAGGAGGTCAGTTAAATCACCACTCTTTAAAGTATGGTGTTTTATCCATAGTTTTCCAATTCATACACTAAACGAAAATATCCCCATGATGTATTCGATCCCTTGATTAACCATACGTTTATGGTCGTTTCAGTACTATAGTGTTGTAAATTTTTAACAATACTTAAAAAATGGGCTAAATTAAATGAATTTAAAAGGCATAGCATAAATGGGTGTCGCTTTGATTTTTCATGTAATATTTCTGTTTTTTTAATAATCAAAGCTTACAACGTATAATGCGATGGTGAGTCATTTTTTATTAGGATGCGCTTTCCTACCAATGACCAGATACATTTCACGATATGTCTTCTTCTAGTGTCTTCGTAAATTGGTGAAGACATGCCTTTTTACTGCCGATAAAGGCAACTACACTTCAATCGCCATACCAGCGATTGGCACTGGCAACTTAGGCTTCCCAAAAGATGTTGTGGCAAGAGCGATGTACGAAGAAATAGCCAATTTTAGCACAAGTAAACCAGAAACAACTCTCAGAGAAGTGCGTCTTGTGGTGTATGATAAAGATCATGCCACCGTTGCTGTAAGTTGCTACTGTTAAATTGTAGATTTCTTTACACTAAGCTGATCATGAAAAACCATTTTGGTGTCCCTCTAGCTTGTGGTAGGAGTTAAAGATGTTTTCCCTAACACTGTTTTAATGAATCCTCTTTTAATTACTGGTAGGCTTTTGAGGATGAGATCAGACAGTTGAAGAGAGGAAGAGGACGTAAGCCCAGAAGACGCGGAAAAGAGAGCAACGAAGATATTTCCTCTGAGCGAAGTGGACATTCAACTTCTAGACGGAAAGCGAATGGTATTTTCTGTTTGTTATTGCTTGCAAGTCTGAATTTATTAGCCAGGCAATTTTTATGTACAGACACAGATGTCTTTATATTTACAGAGCTGATGAATATTCATAAAACACAGGTCAAGTTCGAAAATCAGCATGATCGGGCCATTATTGTAGAAGTTATGCTGTTTTTTCACTTTTCAGCATATATGCAACCCTGTAAACCCATTTTAAGGAAAACCGTTAGGCCTGTTGTCATGAAACTCACAGGAGTAATCAATCTTACTAAAACGCAGGTCAAGTTCGAAAATCGGCATGATTGGGCCACTATTTTAGTAGTTATGCTGTTTTTTCATTTTTCAGCATATATGCAACACTGTAAACACAATATAAGAAAAATAGATATGCCAATTGTCATTTAACTCACAGGAGTGGTCAATCTTACTAAAACGCAGGTTGAGTTCGAAAATCAGCGTAATCGGGGCATTATTTTAGAAGTTATGCTGATTTTTCACATTTCCTCAGATTCAATTCTTAGGCATGTTAACAGTCTCATTATTGAACTAATAAGATACGCAAAAGTGTTTGGTTGACATTTCCTGTATCTTTACAACATTATTAGTTGATTATGTAAAACTGATGGTAAACTTGTTATCATGTATTGTGTAATAAAGTTTCAAAAATGGAAATAAACTCATATCATTGCAGTTTGTCAGATGCAATCATTCACTATGTTTAGAATCTCAGAATGGTGGAAATTGGACATTTAACACTGTTGTATTTATATTTTTCCCATCTCATCAATTTTCTTAGTTGATCATATAAAGATGGCAGTAACCTGTTAATTTTGTTTTATGTTAAAAAAATTGTTAAAAATAGAAAAAAAAACATTTCAGAACAGTGCTGTCTTGTTTACATTCTGGCATTTTCAAGTTGTGACTTTGAAGTTCCATGGGCCTGAAGACCTTTGCTAGTCACATTTTCTGAATATCCATGATACTAATATTTTATTGTTAAAATTGATGGTCATTATGCTGTTAAACATTATGTAATTTTGCATCAAAATTTGAAAAAACCTATTTTGGGCACTGCTCCCATGATGACCATTTAAGAAAAACAATGTCACTTACTGTTCTCAAACAGTACAGTAAATATGTACAGATGTGTCTGTACATATTGCCATGACCTGTATCTCCGTCGTCGCCGTCACTGTCGCCGGCGCTGGCACCGTGCACTTTCATTGTAAACATGATAAGTGGAAGGCAGTTTTACTTTTTGGCTGTATATTTACAGAGCTGATGAATATTCATAAAACACAGGTCAAGTTCGAAAATCAGCATGATCGGGCCATTTTAAGGGAAGTTATGCTGTTTTTTAACTTTTCAGCATATATGCAACACTGTAAACATATTTCAAGGAAAACTGATAGGCCTGTTGTCATGAAACTCACAGGAGTAATCGATCTTATTATAACGCAGGTCAGGTTCGAAAATCGGCATGATCGGGCCACTGTTTTAGTAGTTATGCTTTTTTATGTAAATATGTGTCTGTACATATTGCCATCACCTGCGTCTGTCATCGCCGTCGTCGCCGGCACCGTGCACTTTCATTGTAAACACGATAAGTGGAGGGCAGTTTTACTTTTTGGCTTTATATTTACAGAGCTGATGAATATTCATAAAATGCAGGTCAAGTTCGAAAATCAGCATGATTGGGCCATTATTGTAGAAGTTATGCCGTTTTTTCACTTTTCAGCATATATGCAACACTGTAAACACAATATAAGAAAAACAGATAGGCCAATTGTCATTTAACTCACAGGAGTGGTCAGTCCTGCTAAAAGGCAGGTTGAGTTCAAAAATCTGCATAATCGGGCCATTATTTTAGAAGTAATGCTGTTTTTTCACATTTCATCAGATTCAATTCTTAGGCATGTTAACAGTTTCATTATTTAATGAATAAGATACGTTAAAGTGTTTGTTTGACATTTCCTGCATCTTTACAACATTGTTAGTTGATTTTGTAAAAATGATGGTAAACTTGTTATCGTGTATTATGTAATAAAGTTTCAAAAATGGAAATAAACTCATATCATTGCAGTTTGTTAGATTCAATCATTCACTTTGTTCAGAATCTCAGAATGGAAGAAATTGGNTCTTATTATAACGCAGGTCAAGTTCCAAAATCGGCATGATCGGGCCACTGTTTTAGTAGTTATGCTTTTTTCTTCACTTTTCAGCATATATGCAACACAGTAAATACAATATAAGAAAAACAGATGGGCCAATTGTCATGAAACTCACAGGAGTGGTCATTCCTGCTAAAACGCAGGTTGAGTTCAGGTTTTGTTTGGCATTTCCTCCATCTTTACAACATTATTAGTTGATTATGTAAAAATGATGGTAAACTTGTTATCATGTATTGTGTAATAAAGTTTCAAAAATGGAAATAAATTCATATCATTGCAGTTTGTCAGATTCAATCATTAAAATTTTGCATCAAAATTGACAGTAGCCTATTGTGTGCATAGTTATTTCCTGTTTTTTGTCTGTACATTTGACAGCTTTGCTGCCTTGTTTTCTTGTCCCTATCAGTATCTCCTTTTTGTGTGTTGTCACATTTGGGACAGCACAAAATGAACATCTGAACAACAGTTACTTGAAATTACTGTCAGTTTAGCCTTAAAGATTCTTGAGTAATGGACCCATCAAACTATAATGCATGTCAACTTCATGAATGGACATAAACATATTACTTTTCAAAAGCAACATATTTTTAAAGAATGCATTGTTGCATATGTCATGTTGCAGCTTTATAAGATTGTTCTGAATGTTTTTGAATGTCAGGTTTTAATGAATTCTCATTCAGTGATGTTTTTATCCAGGTTGTACCATACTGGGGTAATACACAGGATCGTAAAATCCTTCGTAGCTTCTGGGATCAAGCCCATGCCTATACGGAGCAATCTTCTTTCCACGTTGTGATCACCAGCTATCAGCTGGTCATCCAGGACATGAAATACTTTCAGAAGATCAAGTGGATCTATATGGTGCTGGACGAGGCCCAGGCAATCAAGAGTAGCAGCAGTATCCGCTGGAAGATGCTGCTTGGATTCAGCTGTAGAAACAGATTGCTACTCACTGGAACACCCATACAGAATAGTATGGCTGAGGTAGTGGGATGTTTTTTTTTTTTTTTTTTTTTTTTTTTTTTTTTTTTTTTTTTTTTTTTTTTTTTTTTTTTTTTTTTTTTTTTTTTTTTTTTTTTTTTTTTTTTTTTTTTTTTTTTTTTTTTTTTTTTTTTTTTTTTTTTTTTTTTTTTTTTTTTTTTTTTTTTTTTTTTTTTTTTTTTTTTTTTTTTTTTTTTTTTTTTTTTTTTTTTTTTTTTTTTTTTTTTTTTTTTTTTTTTTTTTTTTTTTTTTTTTTTTTTTTTTTTTTTTTTTTTTTTTTTTTTTTTTTTTTTTTTTTTTTTTTTTTTTTTTTTTTTTTTTTTTTTTTTTTTTTTTTTTTTTTTTTTTTTTTTTTTTTTTTTTTTTTTTTTTTTTTTTTTTTTTTTTTTTTTTTTTTTTTTTTTTTTTTTTTTTTTTTTTTTTTTTTTTTTTTTTTTTTTTTTTTTTTTTTTTTTTTTTTTTTTTTTTTTTTTTTTTTTTTTTTTTTTTTTTTTTTTTTTTTTTTTTTTTTTTTTTTTTTTTTTTTTTTTTTTTTTTTTTTTTTTTTTTTTTTTTTTTTTTTTTTTTTTTTTTTTTTTTTTTTTTTTTTTTTTTTTTTTTTTTTTTTTTTTTTTTTTTTTTTTTTTTTTTTTTTTTTTTTTTTTTTTTTTTTTTTTTTTTTTTTTTTTTTTTTTTTTTTTTTTTTTTTTTTTTTTTTTTTTTTTTTTTTTTTTTTTTTTTTTTTTTTTTTTTTTTTTTTTTTTTTTTTTTTTTTTTTTTTTTTTTTTTTTTTTTTTTTTTTTTTTTTTTTTTTCTTCAGTATGTCATTTCACTTTCTTTTGCAGTTCACAGTCAGTCTTGTCTGAAATTTGTATGGGCCCAAGCATTTTTCTTTTTGTGCTAGATATTCTTTAAATAAATAAATTGGCATGTTCAGTGGTTAAGGCAAGAGTTATGGTTTGTCACAAAATGGATGTTAAAAGCATTACTATGAAGTTCATAAATGATTTTCATTTTAAAATAAATCTCAACAAGGATTCAGTGAACATGTCAAAGCCTCTGCTTGAACCTCATATTGACATTTTAGAATCAGCATTAACCTTTTTTCTTGCTGTGACAGGTAAGTTTTGATAACTGAAAATTGTTTACTTAAATTTTATTGATATACTTTTTAAATGCCTTTCCAGCTGTGGGCTCTTCTGCATTTTATCATGCCTACGCTGTTTGATTCCCATGACGAGTTCAATGAGTGGTTCTCTAAAGACATAGAGGGAAGCGTGGAGAAAATGTCTGGCATGGATGAAAGTATGTACACTTAGCAAAAGCAACTTTCTTTATCATGTTTGTCACTAAGAGTGCTACCTTTAATCATGTATTCAACATATCTTTACTTGAATCCTTTTGATTTAGGTGTTGGATTTAATAAAGTTAGCTCTTTTAATATAGCACTTAAAGTGACTAAATCTTCTTTGCTGTGAATTAAAAATGTTTATTAAAATAGTGCATCTTATAGTATCCAAATTATCCTGGCAGGAACTGATTTCTTTGTGCTTTAAAGTGATTGTTTTTCCTTCCAGATTGCCTGTCAAGACTTCACATGATATTAAAACCCTTTATGTTGAGAAGAGTGAAAAAAGATGTAGAAAATGAGCTCTCTGATAAGGTAGGGTTGGTGTCAGAAAGGCATTAGTACGGTAATTGCTACCTCATATTTAAGTTAGATACCAGGTGTCTGTTTTATTTTAAAAGAAGTTAGATTCATTTTACTCCTATTGTAAAATTCATGACTTATATATGATAATATATATTGCTATTATTATTGTTGTTGTTGTGGTGATGATGATGATAATTTTACTGTTAGGACATGGTCCATACTTTCAATTTTCACTGTTAATAGTTAAACCTCACCATTTGTAAACTTAATTGTAACTGAGAAGTCACCCTTGTTATTGTGCTGTCACCCAGTATTAGCCTGGTCAGACAGAAGTTGCTAGTACTAAATGAAATAATATTTGTAGTATTCCTGAAAACATCATATTTATAATATACATGTTAAATGCCAGAATTACTCTTTCCACAGATTGAAATCTTAGTGTACTGCCATTTAACAAGGCGACAGAAGATCTTGTATCAGGCCATTAAAAACAAGATAAGAATAGAGGACCTAATTCAGTCAGCAATGGCCACATCAGCATCTCAAGCACAGAGCACAACAAGTAGTCTCATGAATTTAGTCATGCAGTTTAGAAAGGTAAGAGCTACCACAGCACCAACGGCAATTTTTTTTTAATTTCTGAGTTACAGAAATTATTTTGTTGATCAGTTATATTTACAGTAGATGATTAGATGTTTTCTACTTATCAACAAAACATTATAACTTATAAAATAAAATATACAAATAGGTATTTTCTAGTTTTGTTTCTATATATATATATATATATATATATATATATATATTAACCATACATGTCATATTGGTGTCAAGCAAATTATTTCAACCAACAGGTGTGCAATCATCCAGAGTTATTTGAACGTAGAGAAGTGAGGAGCCCATTCCATTACAAACCAGAGACATTCATCTTGCCAAAGAGGATATATAGAGAGTGTAAGTACATTAAAGCAAACTGGTTTTTCTTGATATTGTCAGATTTTTATGATTCTAATGATTTTTTTAAAACAAACATTCCTAAAACTTTGTGTTGTGGAAATGTATTTTGGATATGTAAGGTCTTTTTTTTTTTTTTTAATGAAATGAACTTTTTTGTTGTTTAATGTTACTAAATACTTACAGTGTCTTTATGTAATTCTAGGTTTGATTGATCATGCTCTTCCCAGCAAACAAAGATTGTTGTATAATATGTTTTGTATATACAACCCAGAAAATGTACACCGTTCATTGGTTGGCACCAGTGGTAAGTAGTTGGTCATTTTTGACAGTTCTTTGTCATTGTAGTTAGATGGTCTCATAAATAGCTTTTTGTACTTCCTGAGGCTCACTGACATTAGTCCACATGAACTTACTTTGCTAGTTTTTATTTATCAGTGAATTATGATTATTTCTTCATTTTTAGATGGTCTTGTAAAGAGCGGTTTCTCCTTCCTGAGGTTCATAGACGTCAGCCCTCAGGAACTTGCATCTGTGATGTTAGGAGGACTTCTGGTCAGGTGGGTTGTATATTTGTAATGTTTTCTACTAATAAGAGGCAGTTATATCAATTTAGTGCCAAGTAGAAAAAAGCTAATTTTGCTTATTTGATATATAGTAAAATATCTGCCAGTTCATCACTGATTTAGGGGGGGAAGCATCCCATAAAATGAAATAGTTATTAATGGATGTTCATCACTGATTTAGGGGGGGAAGCATCCCATAAAATGAAATAGTTATTAATGAATTAAGTGTCAAATTTTCACATATTTTGTCACACTTTTTGATGCTAAAACTCATCAGGTTTGAAAACATGTTGCTTAAATTGTCTATTTTTAGTATAATTTAATAATTTATTTACTAAAATCGCAACCTAAAGGTTGAAGTTTTACAATGTGTCTTAAATAATAAAATCATAAGGTATTTTAAAATTAACTAAAAATTATAAACTAAAGGACCAAAGACTTATAAGACAGTTTGAAGCAGTAATTTACATAAAATTTAAAAGACTGTGCATTATAAAAGATGATTTAAAACGCTCCGTTTTTACTTTTGGTATTAAAAATTTGTTGCTGACCCTGAGATTTCTTGGGTTCTTTTGTTTAAACAGATGGTGTAGCTTATTAAAATTCTTGATTTTTGTAAAAAAGTTCTTAAGTAAAACGTCTCTTCTCTCCCTCAGAGAGGTGAGATTACTAGCCTGTAGGGCATCCTTGTAAGTATAAAATGGGTAAATAATTCTTTACTAATAATTCTTGGGTAAATTTTCAGGTGGTTAGCTTTGTTTTTGTGGCTGAAATCTGCAAACAGGATATACCACCAGCAGCAGTGGCACAGTGATGAACCAAAAGTCAAGTGAGTTGATTTTAGGATTTCCAAGTGTCACTGTTAGAAATATATCACATAATAACTGTCCCTGAGCTGTTTCACCATAAATATGATTGTGTGAATCCTGCTGCTGCTAACTATTCTGAATTGCATGTGTTGTTACTCATTTAGGTATTTAAGCAATAAGGCATTCCTCCTAGAACCTCTTCAGACGGTGTATTTCCCCAGTGTACAGACCAGTCAGCACATCAAAGAGATGGTGTTCACTGGCTACAACAACACTGCCCATGGCTTCCTGGAACACACATTACACTACATCCCAGAGACCCCAACCCATCGTAGAACAAGGCTACGACACTTGCATTTCCATGGACATGCGGGAAGACAACTGGGGTCACCTACTTCTCGGACACCTCGCAGTCCACCTGTCTCTCCGACCAAAACTCTACCTACATCTCCTACAAAGGTTGGTATAGTTGATAAGTTTGATGGTTAGGCATAATATTTTGAGGAGTATGAGTAGTTTGTTACTACAGATTAGTATCAGTGTAAGAATGGACTGAATTTTCCAAAAGATTCCAATCAGCCAGAGACAACTCTGTCTCTGTGTATTCTATATTGGAGGTATTTCCATGCATCAACTTAACAGGCCCCACTCAAGTTTATATGCACTACCAACCTCCCACCTGCCCTAGTCTTGAATATATTCTCATTTGTATAATCTTTTTAATTTTTTGGGATAACATAAAGCACATCTATAACGAAAAATCTATTTTTTAATGTTCCAGCGTCATCATTCTCACATTGACTTAGACAGTGCAATACATAGACATCTTCCCAGACCACCCAAGGTGCTCCCCTGTCAGCTGACTGATGTACCTGCCTTCCTTTACAATGCAATGCCAAAGGTTAGTTGTAATATTGATGCTGACAGTGTCTGAACTTCTTGGTTTTTCTCATGATATAGCAGAATTGCATAAGTTGTATTTTGTTAATAAAAATGGTCAAACCTTTGCCTTCTTGGACAGTTGATTGAAATTCCAGAGAATTTTAAAATAATGCATTCTTACAGTTTTCTGTATAATTGGTACTTCTGTGTCACACATTTTGAATGATATTTCAGTCTTTTTGCATATATCTTTAGTAAAATATTTATTCATTTCTGTTTCTAAGATTGCCTGTTGCCCAAGGGAGATCTATTGCTGTGATCGCAGTGCAGCATGGGAACACATGAGAGCCTCCCTGTGTGGTTCTTTAGACGCACGTAACTCACTGTTGTATGGCACTCCAGATGTCTATGAGCAGGTGCGATGGGCTAAGTATTACTTCTATCCAACTCTTCCATGTGGAATGTATGGGATCACACCCAAACATGGATACTCGGGAATATTTGTACCAGGTAGGTAAAGGTAACTAGCATGTAGTCTACATGTGCAAGTGGACATGTATATACACTCACACTAACACTCTGCTGTATTACATGGCAACAATGGTCTGTCCTTCTCTGCTATTATATAAGAAGTTCTGAACACAAGATTTTATTTTACTTTTGCATGTGCAGACTTTTTTATTTAAAGAACTTATTCACTTTTAGACAAGGAGACGTTAGTGACAGATGCTGGAAAGCTGTCAGTGCTGGATACTTTACTTCAGAGGTTGAAATCTGAAGGGCACAGGGTACTGATCTACTCTCAGATGACAAGGATGATTGACCTGCTGGAGGTTAGTGAAATTGTGTTTTATGCCACTGTGTTTTTATGCTCTGTGAGTTCTTTTTGAATATGTAGTGATGAGGTTAGAATTTGCCGTGAGAAGAGGAACTGTGGTCTTATTTATTATATATATATTTTTTGATTTCTATCTGAATTTGTCTGCCTTTGATGAGATTCTGTTCTGTACTACTTCTTTCCGCTGTATCAAACTCTTTACTAGTCTTTGCTGATGATCTTATTGTGGGTTTTGTTTATTACATTGTAACATTGCTTACAAATAGTGTTTTTTTTTTTAACATCAAGGAATATATGTGGCATCGCAAACACACTTACATGAGGTTGGATGGTTCATCCAAGATATCTGATCGACGTGACATGGTGGCTGACTTCCAGACCAGGTCGGATATATTTGTTTTTCTCTTGAGTACCCGTGCTGGTGGCCTTGGTATCAATCTGACGGCAGCTGATACTGTGAGTACATTTATATTCTTTAATACAATATGTTTTAGGACTGCTTAAATCTAACACAAGGTCCAGGTCATTTTATCTCTCACAGTTTGAAAAGCTATATTGACCACTGAAAGGATGTTTCAAATAGTAAACATAGTTTTATAAGTTTAAAACAATTCACTTCATTTATTTTAGGTGATATTCTATGACAGTGATTGGAATCCTACAGTGGACCAACAAGCCATGGACAGAGCTCACAGGCTGGGGCAAACCAAACAAGTCACTGTGTACAGACTCATATGCAAAGGATCCATTGAAGAAAGGATCCTAGAGAGAGCCAAAGAAAAGAGTGAGGTGAGGCGATTGAACATATTTATTATGATTGATATACATTTTTTTGTGTTTCGTGTTATGTAGTATTTTGTTTTAAGCTAATAATCCAAAATATGTGCTGAAAACTTTTATTTTTACAGTAATTTTACATGTTGTTTGGGTTTTTAGATTCATCGCATGGTAATCAGTGGAGGTTCCTTCCGTCCAGATACTCTCAAACCCAAAGAAGTGGTGTCTTTACTGCTGGATGATTCAGAAATGACGCGAAAACGTAAATTTTGTATTTTGACTCTTTTGCAATTTTTTTAAAATTAGTTTTGAGTAAAAAAGGATTGATTTATAATCAGTGCAGTACTTAGTTTACTGTGGATAATTTTATTTATCTATTGAAAATACTGATTGGTTTGAAATTTTGATAAGCATTTTTTTTAACAAGTTTTTCTTAACTTCTCCCTTCCATTAGTGAAACAAAAGCAGGAAGAAAAGAGTCTGAAGCAAGAAAAGTACAAAGTCAAAGACAGAAACAGAAAAAGGGAACAATATGCCAAAGTAAGATTTTACTCTTTGTTTACTTGTAGGATTGTTAGTTTTAGCAGCTGGTCCATTTTTGATGAAGAATTCCCCTATAATCAGTTCCCATCTGCATTTTTTCCTTATTATATAAATGTAATGACAAATCTATCAGTCCACACTATTTAAACTTTTTCTATTCTATTCACAGAAAAAGCAAGAAAAAGGTGAAACTGTACGAAAAAGGAAGAAAGATAATTCAGCATCAGCTGCAGAAGAGTCCAACTTTACTATCCCAGCAGACAGTGAGTCCATGTACAGTTGTGACTCTCCTTCCATCCCACCCAGTCCTGGGAGTGTGGTGAGTCAAAGATTAGGACTCACCCATTACATTGGTTTAGAATGTGAAATATAAAGGTTGCCCTATATATGTATTGACTAGATCATGATATTGTCGGAATCTTACTCTAATCTAATCTTAGAAAACAGTTTGGTTTAGGCTTTTACATAAAGTGATATTTATTACATAAAGTATATTTAACATACCCTAGTAGAATGTGATAAAAATAGTTTTTTTCCTCTTTTATAGGTTTCTGTTGGCAGTGAACAACCGCTGACTATTGATGAGAGCAGTAATGATGGTGGACTGTTAATAGTGGATGATGCACACTCTACTTTTCCTCCAGGTTGGTTGATTGAATGTGCAAAAACTAAAAAACTTAATTCTAAAAGAATAGATATTGGTGCATTTAATTATTATTTATTGTCAATATAAAGATATAGCATATATTAAAATCCAACTTCCTGAATTGCTATTTGTTAGATACGAAAAGCAAATATTCAACAATACATATTTTTGATATTTTGTCCTTTGAAGCATTTTATAGTTGTTTACTGTGAAAACTTTTATTTGAACTTCACTTGTAACTGTTGATTTTTGAGAAACACAACTTAAATCAAAATACAATTACCGTCTTGTTTTACAGTCACAACGCAGGTCACATCCACTCCAAAGAGAGGGTCTGGGCGACGAGGGAGACCAAGGGGTTCAGGAATGGGACGCCGTCCCCGGGGTAGGGGAAGTATCACTAAGGCACTTACAGCAGCTGAGATTGCAGGGGCAAAAGCAGGGAAGTCTGCAGCATTTAAGGCATATGGCTACAGCTTTACAGGTACTGGATATTGGTATTTTTTGGTATTTTATTGGTATTAATCAGAACAAATTTTTACCAGTTAATGTTTTGCAATTTATTTTGTGTTGATAATTTTCTTGATATATTACCGCTCTTCTGTTCTACTAGTAAAAAATGCGAAACATACAGGTAGTTTTTTGTAAGAAAAAGATCTCATAAATGAGGGCAATGACTAAATTATCAACTCATATTTTAATAGTCATTTGCATGGCAAAAGTGTCAACAATGCATATGTATATAATATAATATAATATAATATAATATAATATAATATAATATAATATAATATAATATAATATAAAGTATGCATTTCTGATCATTTCAGGCACAGAGGAGACCTCAAACCAATCTCAGACAGACTCACAGGGACTATGATTGGTTTTTACTGACATTCAACTCACTTAAATGGTTACCTCAATAACACAAAGATGAACATTCATGGAAGGCAAAACTTTTGATCCCAACAAAGAAATAATTCAGTTTCTATTGCAGTTTGAAGTATTAACTATTTATGATGTTATGTATTATCACTGCATTTTGAATGAGAAGGTGACACGTGCCTTGTTTTTGTTAAAAAATAAGCATAGTATAAAATTTGACTTTGGGTCATTTGTGGAAAAGAAAATGCTCTTGTCTAGAAAATTTTATATTTCATCATAAAACATTATACCTTTCTGGTATTTCTTTGAATAATTCATAAAATCTGGCTCAAAAGTTTGGTATTTCTAGTGTGATTAAAATTTCTATCGGAAAAGGTGTAAGAGGATTTTTAAAAAATTCTTTAAATTATTTTGTTTATGATTGAATATATTAAGTTGTATAAGCAACTGTTCCTATTTTGAACACTATGCCTTGAATGCTATTACACACTGTTGTGCTGAAGATCTTCCAAGAACTGCATTTATTGTTTGATCAACAGTTCTGTTTATCTCACAACTCAATTTAGAGTACGCTCGTAAAATAAGGCATAATTGGGATTTTTAAAATTTTTGATTCAAAATAAAACTCATAAAATTCATATTCTATACAATGACTGTGAGTTGCTTATGAAGCCATAAAGTGATGTGGGCAATAGAAATAGTGCGGGTTCATGAAGCACAAAGCCCATATGCAAGAAAAAAAGGATGGAATGATAGACCCTGTCTCCAGACCCACTTTCTGCTGTCCTCACTGTCCTGGTAATGGAATGGGGGAAGTCTGACCTAGTTAACTGAAGTACCGCTGTCCTCAGCCGACCTCAATGTATCATGAGACTTGATAACAAATAACAGCAGGTTAATAGAGCATGGTCTGAATTAATTCAAACTACAGTTTATACGCATCTATATTTTTCTCCTAGTGTACCTAGAGTTGCTGCTAGGCGAAAAGACTATTATCAAGCCAGAAACCTGTTGACTAGCATGGCTTCTTTTAGAACAAACAATTTGCCACTTCCTTCCCCTTAGCACGAAAATCCCTGCGTTAGGCCAGGAAAAATTGTTACGTTTGTTTACCAAGTTAATTTTTGGGAAATCCTATTTTTCCGTACACATTTTTGATGGGGAAAATGCACTGTGTATTGTCGTGGTAAGCGGTATAAGTTTACTATTGACCCTAGGGAGAAACCGTAATGCTGCTGGTTTAATGGTCTGTGGATTTGAACCCTCTCCCCCCCCCCCCCCCCCCCGAAAAATACATAAAAAAGAAACAATACATCGAAAGAGTCCGAAATTTAGTTATGCCGTTAAACATAAGTTAACAAAACCAAAATAAATATCGTTCAAAATAAATGCGTTTACAAAGAGTTGTCGCTAGTGAACCTTAGCACTCTTAATTCTTTACGCTTTCTGATACGTGCGAACGCATATAAAAGATTCTGCAGGTGCAAATATCTTGATAAGGACAGTCAGCTAGGGAAACGACAGCATGTCGAGCGCTTTCAAATCTAAGTGCTCATCTTTCACCTCCGAGGAAGCGGTTGAGTGAAACGAATGACGCACGTCTTCAAAGTCCTACTGAAGTAGTAGCACAGGGAAACAACTAGCTAAAACATCCCCCAGTACTTGCATGGGTATAAAAAATCAACATAAAGTAGACCAATTTGTGTCAATTTCAGACACATTTAATTGAATTTAAATGATTCAACAGATATATGAAAACTTATATCTGCAAATTCAATTGTTGGCACCTCGTTGTCTCACCCCCTCCCCCCTCCTCTTATATTTTTAAATCCGGATTATCCTGGTTCCTTTGCTCTTCTTTGATTTATTTTTAATAATAAGGAACAACGTGACTGTTTCCTTGTGTGTTTTCCATTTTCCACTCTATATAATGACGGGGGAAATTGGTGAGATTTTTTTCAAAGAGCGAATTAATTAATTTTAATATTTAAGCAAGACGTCCCATGCACACTCGCGCCCACACACACACACACACACACCTGCAGGGGTCTACTACATTTCACAAAATTCGCAGACAGTGTGTACCACACTTAATCGGAACCAGATCAAACCGGATTCTGATTGTAAACAGGATACATACAAACACATAACAAAGTAGTTGACCCTTCGAACTGGACCCTGCAGGTCTCTCAATGCGGGTTGCATCAGCTAGGAGGCGTAATGAATGAATGGGCACGTCATAATGGGAAAGAAACGCGATTGGACGTTACTATAATGACGTCAGACATACTATATATACAATTGCTGCCTGTCCGCAAACTAGTAAACACACAGTTGCAGTTGTTATTGCTGGTGAGAGAGTGTGTAAAGACAAAAATCGACGCAATGCCTAGCAGCCCTCACGAAACACCCTCTATGTGGGTGTTCGGGTATGGTTCATTGATCTGGAAACCAGGATTTACTTATACAGAAAAAATAATAGGTTTTATCGAAGGGTACGCGAGACGGTTTTGGCAAGGAAGCATATCCCATAGAGGAACGTCTGAATACGTGAGTTCACTTCGTCATATACAATATACGTTTCCAGGCCACTTAATATATTTTAGATACATTTTACTCTATGCTAGAATGGATAAATTAAACGCAAAGCAAGAGCACACTCCACATTGAAAGACTTTCTAATGGTCACGTTTTGTTTAGGCCCTTGCATTGATCCAATTTTGATTTGTTTACAATTTTAGCCTGGAAGAGTTGCGACATTGGTGAAAGAAAATGAGGTGAGTTCGTTTTCCTTTATTAAACATAACATAAATGCTAGAAAGATACGAGCGCCGACTTGGATAAGGTATGTTGTGTGCCATTTCGGATAGCTGCATGTAGACGCCACAGCCACTCTGTCACGTAGCGATCATTGCATCAGCTTGCTTCGTGAAGTATATATTATGCAAATTAGCCACGTGCAGCTTGCGTGCTATTATTTCCAGATGGATCACTGGCGTGCTTTGTTGCCCTGTTTTTATCAAAAGAGGCACGGAATGATAAACGGAAAATATCATAAAAACTTAAGTATGTGCTTTTGTTCAATTTCAGAGCAAAGTTTGGGGCCTAGCTTACCTATTAGTTGGAGATGATCAGATAGCTGAAGCAATGGACCATTTAGACTTGCGAGAGTGCACGTTAGGAGGGTACACAACATTCACTGAAACCTTTTATCAGAAAGATAAAGAGGACACTGTCTCTGTATGGATTTATTCGGCAACCCCAGACAACCATCTATATACAGGGCCTGAAACGGTGGAGCAGGTGGCACATCAGGTCTCCAAAGCTCGGGGATTTTGTGGACACAATGCAGAATACGTTCTGAAAATTGCCAACTTCATGCAACAGCACTTGCCTAACGTAGAGGAGGATGACCTTTACACCCTGGAAAAATTGATTTTAAAGAACCTAGAACAAATGGGATTCACAGTGTATTTGAAAGATCACGTGTTCTCGTTAATAGAAAACAACCCAGATCTAGAGTACGGTGAAAATATGGCGCTTCACAACGGTTCTCTGCAAGCTGAGAAAACCTCCAATCTCAAACCTGTCCCACCTCTACAGCACGGTAGAAAGGTTAGGGTGTATGGTACGCCAGAGTGCGAGCCTGAAAATCACTTATTTGATAACGCTTCCGATGACGAAACATGCCTCATTTGCAACTGCTCCAGAATGCAAAGTGCTAGTTGACTGAACACTGTGTTTATGAGAACTGTGCGAGTCACATAAACCTAACAGATGGTGCTAATAAAGTGTATATAGGTGGTGCTTGTGAAGTTTATGTCAGTGGCCAATTTAAATGGCTGTACTATATTAATTTATTAAGCTTAAGCTTGGACGACTAACGTCCAAGACTTAGGTTATTTAACATGTATATATTTCTGTTAAAGGTCATTTGAAATGACTTGGATATGCTTATTTATTTTTCTCAAGTAAAGGTCACAATAATAAATATCCATGTTGATCTGAATTGTTATTTTTTGAAAGTGTGATTACGCACTTAAGGCACAATACGAATTGTGATTTTGCAAAAGATCTCTTGTTATTCATAATAAATATATATATATACGGTTTAACTGATATTTGGGTGTTTTTTTTTTATACATTAAACAAAAAAGCATCCTACATAGATCTTTACCGTCCTGCACGTGGTTAAAAGTGAAACAGCAGAAAGCGCTTTTACAGCATCCCGGGCAGACTCGCACTAATGCGCGCCTTTTACAAAGAAATGAAGTAATGATTGAAAGATAATTTCAGCACATGATATACATAGTTTTGTTTCTGAATATTCATTCGCGTTTTTTTCTTTTGCAGTATTTTATCATAGTCAACAGAGTACATGTTTGTCCTTCTGTACTTACACGATGAACTACAAACCATTTATCATTGTACCTCATATTTAACGCCAACTAAAGTGGGCTTTAAATCATATCTCAGCATTTTGGAAAGATTTTATGAGCGGATCGGAAAATATGTCACTTGTCTCAACATCATTGGGAATATGAGAAAGTTAACATTAGTTGTTGTTTAATTTGATACGTCTAAACTGAACTTTTTGAACTAAAGATTATTATTTCGCAATAGTGGAAACGATTTTAATGCCATTGGAAACGATTTTGTAGGTAGAGTAAAATAATATCATATAGTTTTGAAACCTATTGAATTGAAAACAATGTGTAATGAGGAAAACGGTCGTATTTGCCCCGCCGCTTATATCCGCTGGTCGAGACCCTAGTTAACCCATGTCCAACTTCAGGTTCCCAAATTTTGCAGATATATATTCCCTTGTCGCTTTTGTTTTTCATGTTTAGCCCCCCATCCCGTCCACGATTAAAATTTGCTTTTTACGCATCTGCTTATCTTATCCACTCTTCAACACACTGAATAACTAGCTTTAATTCAAATAACACGCAATGCTCGAGGGCTGAACGAAGAATGCAATTTTTAAAGAAAAATCATGCAAATCGCATGATTCTGAAGATATATTTTCCATGGTTTTGGATGTTCCCATTCTACACATTTACTATACACTGGACAATTAGAAATTTGCTTTTTGGCTTTAACTTATAAAAACAAAAATATTCTATTTTGTCGAGTTTGTATTGCAAACAACATGCTAGTGTGATATACTAAACATGAAGAGTAAATATCCAAAATCTTGATGTGTGAAAGGTCTTTAATCGGCTAATCAGTCTCATGTAATGATTTTCCTTATTAGATTGTGTGCTGAACAATGTGTATACATGAACAACACAGAGATCATTCCTGGTAGCATTCCTGCAAATAGAGAACCATGCCGGAACAGGTTTTACCTCCCCTCCCGATTTTAATATCTGGTATACGCCCCTATCTCACAGGGTAACTTTATATTTGCAATAGCTGACTGACGCAANGTGGCCAATTTAAATGGCTGTACTATATTAATTTATTAAGCTTAAGCTTGGACGACTAACGTCCAAGACTTAGGTTATTTAACATGTATATATTTCTGTTAAAGGTCATTTGAAATGACTTGGATATGCTTATTTATTTTTCTCAAGTAAAGGTCACAATAATAAATATCCATGTTGATCTGAATTGTTATTTTTTGAAAGTGTGATTACGCACTTAAGGCACAATACGAATTGTGATTTTGCAAAAGATCTCTTGTTATTCATAATAAATATATATATATACGGTTTAACTGATATTTGGGTGTTTTTTTTTTATACATTAAACAAAAAAGCATCCTACATAGATCTTTACCGTCCTGCACGTGGTTAAAAGTGAAACAGCAGAAAGCGCTTTTACAGCATCCCGGGCAGACTCGCACTAATGCGCGCCTTTTACAAAGAAATGAAGTAATGATTGAAAGATAATTTCAGCACATGATATACATAGTTTTGTTTCTGAGTATTCATTCGCGTTTTTTTTTTTTTTTTTTTTTTTCAGTATTTATCATAGTCAACAGAGTACATGTTTGTCCTTCTGCACTTACACGATGAACTACAAACCATTTATCATTGTACCTCATATTTAACGCCAACTAAAGTGGGCTTTAAATCATATCTCAGCATTTTGGAAAAATTTTATGAGCGGATCGGAAAATATGTTACTTGTCTCAACATCATTGGGGATATGAGAAAGTTAACATTAGTTGTTGTTTTATTTGATACGTCTAAACTGGACTTTTTGAACTAAAGATTATTATTTCGCAAAAGTGAAAACGATTTTAATGCCGTTGGAAACGATTTTGTAGGTAGAGTAAAATAATATCATATAGTTTTGAAACCTATTGAATTGAAAACAATGTGTAATGAGGAAAACGTTCGTATTTTCCCCGCCGCTTATATCCGCTGGTCGAGACCCTAGTTAACCTATGTCCAACTTCAGGTTCCCAAATTTTGCAGATATATATTCCCTTGTCGCTTTTGTTTTTCATGTTTAGCCCCCCATCCCGTCCACGATTAAAATTTGCTTTTTACGCATCTGCTTATCTTATCCACTCTTCAACACACTGAATAACTAGCTTTAATTCAAATAACACGCAATGCTCGAGGGCTGAACGAAGAATGCAATTTTTAAAGAAAAATCATGCAAATCGCATGATTCTGAAGATATATTTTCCATGGTTTTGGATGTTCCCATTCTACACATTTACTATACACTGGACAATTAGAAATTTGCTTTTTGGCTTTAACTTATAAAAACAAAAATATTCTATTTTGTCGAGTTTGTATTGCAAACAACATGCTAGTGTGATATACTAAACATGAAGAGTAAATATCCAAAATCTTGATGTGTGAAAGGTCTTTAATCGGCTAATCAGTCTCATGTACTGATTTTCCTTATTAGATTGTGTGCTGAACAATGTGTATACATGAACAACACAGAGATCATTCCTGGTAGCATTCCTGCAAATAGAGAACCATGCCGGAACAGGTTTGACCTCCCTTCCCGATTTTAATATCTGGTATACGCCCCTATCTCACAGGGTAACTTTATATTTGCAATAGCTGACTGACGCAATATCGTATTATGCTTATCACATTCACGGACATTTTCGTCTCAACACAAGACAGAAAGTTTGGCCACAAAGTGACACCGGCTGGTGCTACAATGGGCTTCATTAAGAGCCCGACGTTCTTGTTGTTTTAGTCCGAGCAGATTAGCTCCCCCTGTTGACAAAAGCGTCTGAAAAAAATCTAATAGATAATGTGACCAGCTCAAGTTCAATATATCCTGATCCTTTTTCCTCCCCTCCTGTCGTTACTCTGCTGTGAAGGACGGAGTGCAGAATAAGTACTTCACTCACACCTCAAGAGACCCACAACTCGCCGCGGTTAGTCATAAAGGATCTTGACTCTATTGGTCATTTCGTGCTGCTTTAATACGTTGTCCATCCGTCCATCAAACAGTCCATAGATGCCACCTGTAAAGGAATATATTAGTTATTCCCAGAACCAGCGTCCACTCAGGCGAGTAATGCATTGTACTTTGAATTTGTCAAATTCCTCGTAGATTTTCGCTATGTTTACATATCGATCAGATCAGATTTCAGATCATATTTTAGTTTGATGAAGAAAAAAAACAAACCTGTGTGCAGAAATAATACCCTTCTACCCTTGAACCTATCAGGGTGGTTGTTCATTTCTTGAACCAGGAACTTCACAGCTTTGCCCGTGTAGGTTGGATCGACAATGACACCCGTATCAATGCCCACTTGAATGAAGTAATCTAATGAAAGGTAATAACATATAATATCAAGAATGTATTACCACATATATTACACCAAAATGGCCAAAAAACATCCCGGAAAATGCGCCCTAATGTCGATAATTCCCAGATGTAAGTATATTGATAATATCCATGGTTTAGTTTCAGAATTAACATACTTATTTCATTAAGCGGCATATTCAAATTATTACATTAGCTGTATCGTAATCCTAACGTCACAATGAACTACTGAACGTACTTAAGGCCGGTGATAGGGTTAAATACGCTTAAAATCATGTTTTTGAGTTTTTTGTGTGTTTATATTAATCAAAAAAGTATCTAACGTTGGATGTAATAATCTTTATGAATTTGCATCGCAAAATGTGTCTTTTGATGAGTTTTTCAACCGGCACGCGCCCCAGTCAGGCTGACAACTAAGCCACGCCTCTGTTACTAAGGGCCGTTGCCATGAGGGGGTCGGAGCACAGTTAATGAGTTATAAGCCGATTACGTGTGCGGTAATAGGTCATAAGTCTTACATCAGCTTAGCAGCTAAGAAGTCTAGCTAGTACACTATGGGGGAAGAGAAAAGTTTGNTATGGGCTGATTTAACATAATAGATGATAATATCAAAGGTAAATAGTTTAAGACAATTCCCTGGTACCCCGCTGTAGTGCTTTCACCCAGCTTTATGAGGCCTTTTGAATCACTTGAATAGCTGTTTTGGTTATAGAGAAAATCCCAATACCGAAAACGGCATTTTTCCCCTCAAATTGGCGCCAGAGCGCCATCCGTTGGACACTGTACTTAATCCCCGTCATTAATTGGCCTTTTGGGAAGTTTGTTTTAATTTTTTACAAAAACTTATAAGCCCAGGGCTTTGTTTCTATGACTTTGGTCCTTTTACTATTAGTGACCTTAAGCCCCATATAACCACTGCAACCTAACAAGTCAAATTGACTTCCACTATGGCAAGTAACGAGATAACAAGCGCTGGATATTGAGCATTCTGTTATTGTTGGTGGTACTGAAACAAACAATTTAAAATAAATCAATGTCCATCTCTAACCTAGTTCTTCCTGGGTGGACACCCCATAGCCTTGGTTTTCAGGACCTTCAATCATGTCCACCATGTCCTCTGAGCGTACGTCAGTCAGCCCAACGTCGTCCAACATCTCATTGATAGCGGCATTATAGAACTTGGCATCCTCACACACGATCAGGGCATGGATTCTAAAAATGTAACTAATATATACAGCAAGGAAACAACACGAGGTCCCCCAGCATGGGATTCCTGTTGCAAATTATTTAAGTCAATTACCTCTAGTTGAAATAAAGCGTATGCAAAATTGGTCTAGAAACGCGTTCAGAAA